AGAAGATGACCCTGTGTATGACTCAAATTTCATTTTTGAGCCTTTGACCTACATTTTTCTCACAACATGTCATGGAAATTTGGGTATTTCTACTTAATGTTGGCCATCACTATTTCGAAACTTCTAAAAGTCATTCCAGCAACATATTAAAACTGGCCATACTAGTGGTATAATTCCCTTGGAACAGGTCCTGTGGAAGAAGAGATTTGTCTTGTAAGGCTCTGTTTAGGTCCCTGATGATTTCAAGTGAGTATAGCAGGAAGTTACTCTCTAATAAGAAGGAAATACCATTTATAGGCATCCAGAGCATTCAGCACATTCTGAGACTTCAAGGTTCAGGTGCCTGTTCCCATATATCTCCATCTAACTTAGCATCCCGCATCCCGCTTTGTTTCTGTCAGGGCCCTGGCTTTGATGTAGGGGATTTGGTAGGGCTCAGAACACAACCATCTCTTAAGTTTGTAAAGTTCTGCTAATCTTACACTGACATCCTGAAATTTGCTTTGAATTTGTGATTGACCACCATAGCTTTCATTTTCATTCATCAAAGCATCAATGAAGTAGAAGCACTAATGGAATTCTTATACAAGTGGCTTATTGAAAGTATGCTCCCAGGAGAAAGGGAGTGAGAGAAGTATTAGAATAGCACAGAGGAAGGAGCTAAGCAAGGATATGACCTCAACTGAAGTCCAGCTGCTTCTGCCTGATACTGCAGGGAGCTGTGAAGTATAAATTGTGCCAAATATTTTTCTCACATGGAGGCAAAAGGTTCTTCCATATCTCTTGTCAGTCAGGCATGGCTACTTGTGGTAGTGGAGGGGAGTACATAATCTCCCAAGTGAAGGAACTCTCAAGTGGCTCAGGGCAATTCTTTAGAGAAGATAACAGCTGGCCAGCTATGTGTGGTGGCTCATGCCTGTAATCCCAGTACTTTGGGAGGCTGAGGTGGGTGGATCACTTGAGGACAGGAATTTGAGACCAGTCTGGCCAATATGGTGAAACTCCATCTCTACTGAAAAAATACAAAAATTAGCCAGGTGTTGTAGCAGCCATCTGTAATCTCAGCTACTCAGAGGCTGAGACAGAATTGCTTGAACCTGGGAGGCAGAGGTTGTAGTAAGACGTGATCACACCACTGCACTCCAGCCTGGGTGACAGAGTAAGACTCTCTCTCAAAAAAAAAACCAAAAAAAAAAACAAAAAAAAAAAAAAAGAAAAAGAAACAAACAAACAAAAACCAGAATACAGCAGCTACGAGTGGTTTGCAGCCAATACTTTATAGGAGGAGGTAGGGATTGGGTGCACTGGCCCAGTAAAGGAGATCTAGGGAGGGCACAAACAGCATCTGCTACTGTGATATTTTATTAATACTCATCCACAGATTCATATTCCTGTATGCAGACTCTTCTTAGGAGAAAGTATAATTAAGAAGGGTCATAGATAAAACATAACCAATGTAAGAATTTTAGAGGTCATCTTTTGCTTTTTTGTTTAGAGTTACTGGATTTTTAAGTACAATAGAGGTTAAGTTTTTGGATCTAGTCAATTTTATCTTTTAGCCACATAATATATACAAAGAAGCCAAAAGAAAAATAGTGTTTCATTTATCTTAGCTGCATAATAAACAACCCCCCCAAATTTAGAGTCTATAAACAACCATTTAGCTCATGATTCTGTAGATTGGCAATTTGGGCTTTGTTCAGCTGGGTGGTTTTTCTGCTGGTCTCACCTAGGCTTGTCCATTAGGTACCATCAGTTTACAGGATGGCTATGGGCTGGTTAATCTAGGATAGCCTTACTTCCATCTCTTGTGGTTGGTGCCTGCTGACAGTTGGTGCTGGCCATTAGCTGGGGTGATAGGAGTGATGTTTCCCAGGCTTACTCATATGTTGGAAGTCACAGAAGCACTAAGCACTAAGGGTTTCCCTGGAGCACTAAGAAAGAGCAAGCTCCAATATGAAAGCACTCTCCAGAACTCTGTTTATGCCATGATTGCTATTGTCCCATTGGCCAAACCAAGTCACATGGCCAATCCCAGAGAAAATGTGGGAGACCATTACCCAGTAATATGGATATTGGGAGGCAACAGGCTACCACAAAGAGTGGTAGGCTTATTTACCATATCGGGTAAGAGCTCCTTGTTTTGGTAGTGACAAAAGGTGTGTCTGGCAAAATGTGCTTGAAATAAATCTGATTTTACCACTTTCTTTAGAGAAAATAATCACTTTTCTATTATTTATGTTTTAGGTTCAACATTTGTTGGATTTAAGAATGTTTGTTCAGGGGAAACTAATGTTATATTTATTACTAACCCTTTAAATGAGGATTTACAACATCCAATCCATGTGAAGAATATAAAACTGGTTGATACTACTGAACAATCAAAAATATTTATACATAGGCCTGATATAAGGTAAAATACATAAAATAAAATAAAACAAAACAAAAATTAGCTGTGTGGTAGTGTGTACCTGTGGTCCCAGCTACTCAGAAGGCTGAGGCAGGAGGAGTGCTTGAGCCCAGGAGGTTGAGGCTGCAGTCAGCTATTATCACACCACTGCACTCCAGCTTGGGCAACAGAGACCCTATCTCAAAAAAAAGTAGGTACCTTTTCAGACAAATGCAGTATTTCATAAATAGTTTGACTTGATCCGATTTTGCTTTGCTGACAGCCCAATACTTATTCCTTTAATTTTTGTTGAACTTCAGTTGAACAATCAATCAATACTTTAGATTAGGCATCCCCAAACTTTTTACACAGGGGGCCAGTTCACTGTCTCTCAGACCGTTGGAGGGCTGCCACATACTGTGCTCCTCTCACTGACCACCAATGAAAGAGGTGCCCCTTCCTGAAGTGCGGCGGGGGCGGATAAATGGCCTCAGGGGGCCCTAGTTTGAGGACGCCTGCTTCAGATAACTCAAAATGAGGCCAAAATACCATCTACATTTGAACTGCATGATAAGATTATCTTATCTCTCATTGTTATCTATAAAAGAGTTACTAAAATTGTAGCATAATAAATACAATCCAAGTATATTCGTATATCCATAAACAAAGGTCTATAAGAATATATACTAAACTGCAATTGGTGATGAGCCTAAAAGCTTAGAATAGGAAGGTGAAAGAGATTGGGCTTTTAATAAATCTTTAGATTATTTTATAGTAAACATACTTTCATAATTTTTAAAGACAAGAAGGAAGGGAAATAATGATAAAGACTTCCCTCCCAACAACATGGATTTTATATGTCCTGTACAACAATAATCATTCACCTACTCTCTGGAGCAATGTTAGTATATTTTGAACAATGCATAAATAAGAAATCTGTTATTCAACAATAGATAGAATAGAAAACTGGAATTCTGATTTTATATCCCACAGGTATAACTTGTCCTTTTAAAATGTTAACAAATTCATAATCATAGACCAAAACAACGCAATGAAAAAGCAGACCTCATTACAATGCTAATTACATAGACTACTTGGTCCCGCTTTGAAACCTCTCTGAAATAAGATTCAATAGATCAATTTTTTTTGATACCCTCTTAGCAAATATTCAAGTATATTCGTATTGCTCTCTAGAAACAGTGAACTGAATCATTCAACTTTTCTCCACAGTAAGGTCAATCCATCTGATTGTGTAGACATGGTTTGTGATGCCAAAAGGAAATCTTTTCTTAGAGACATAGATGGCTCCTTTCTGGGGAATGCTGGTTTTGTGATACCTCAAGCAGAATATGAATGGGATGGAAACAGCCAACTAGGAATTGGAGACTACAGAATCCCTAAGGTGATGCTCACATTCTTGAATGGAAGTAAAATTCCTGTCACTGAGAAAGCACCTTATAAAGGTTTGTTGAATATTATTCTGTTGTTAGGCCTTAAGCTCATGAAACGAAATATGTGTTTTGTTTTTAATGACTTATGTACTCAACCAATAACTTATATTTTCTACTTCTTAAACTTGCATAACAAGAAAAAGATATTATGAGGATTTTGTTTTTGCAAACAGATTCTGTATTATTGCTAAAATGTATATACATATGTTTCTAGGAATTATTAGAGATTCAACCTGTAAGTACATTCCACAGTGGCAGAGCTATCAGTGCTTTGGGATGGAATATGCATTGATGGTTATTGAAAGTCTGGATCCTGACACAGAAACTCGAAGAATTTCCCCAGTGGCTATAATGGGCAATGGTTATGTAGATCTCCTTAATGGTAAGTATTTAATAAGCGTAAACTAGAGTTCCTAAAAACATTTGCTTGTTATTAGATGCATGAAGCCATCTCATAAATTTTTTGCCACATACAGCTAGCAAACATCAGGCCTTCTTTGCCTTCCATTTGTGAGAATGAGCAGGCTGGGCACAATGGCTCACACCTGTAATCCCAGCACTTTGGGAGACAGAGGTGGGCAGATCACCTGAGGTTGGGAGTTCAAGACCAGCTTGACAAATATGGAGAAACCCCATCTCAACTAAAAATACAAAAATTAGCTGGGCCTGTAATCCCAGCTACTCAGAAGGCTGAGGCAGGAGAATTGCTTGAACCCAGGAAGTGGAGGTTGCGGTGAGCTGAGATTCACTATTGCACACCAGCCTGGGCAACAAGAGTGAAACTCTATCTCATTAAAAAAAAAAAAAAAAAAAAAAATGAGCAATGTGCAGGAGAGAGACTTGATGTTGCAGTATCTCATCCAGGAAAGCAAGGACAGTTATTTAAAACTGGCCACTGGTCATTGAATTAAAAGGAAGAAGGAGGGGAAGAGGGATGAAGAGGAAAGCAAGAAGGAGACAAGTTATTTGTGGAGTGATCTTCATACCTTTATTGATAAGGTGGTATAAATATTTTGAAGAAAAAATGGGTCCAAGTATCTCCAAAACATACAGTTTGTCTAATGTATATTAAAAGTTGATAATGTGTTATTTGGAATACCTGACAAGCAGTATTCTCAGCTTGCTCATTTTTTATTCTCATGAATTGCTGGAAGACTTACCTTGCCATCGACGTGTTTTCATCTCTGATTCCTTTGATTGTCAAGACCAATCTGGTCAAGCTCCAGAGTCAGGTTTCTTCCATTCTGGTCTTAGGAGGCTGTAGCAGAGAGGGAAGGTAATTGTCTCCATGTGGATGCAGATCAGCTTAGGAGAACAATCCTTTTGGAATGACTAAGATGAATTTCTAAAAGGTACTGAAAACACAGGACAGGGATTCATTGTATATCCCTGAAATGACACCAGGGGCTCAAAACTTAGTCCCTAAACAGGCTTAGATTTCTTTTACGTGCTGAAAGTGCACATAGCTTGGATTAGTTGGATTTCTGTGCCCTTGTAGTGTCATATCATGTAGTAAAATATTCTAGAATAAAATAGCTAATATCCAATAAAATTATAAATGCCTTAAAAACTTGTTTACAAGAATAGAATGAACTAAATCAGGAGTATTCCAAAGTTTCATAATTTTAGGGCTCTCTTCACTTCTCCCACCGCAGTGTGTGCTATGTCTGGTTTCTGTGACCTGTGGTCAACCAAATTTCAGATGCTGCTTTTTGGATTTTACAAAGCAGAGATCATGAAAACAATTTTAAAACTGTCAATGAATAATGGAGTAATTGAGGAGATGTTTTCAAATTGCTCTGTTTTATACAGTGGAAAAAGCTTTCATGGTTTTATTTTTTTATTTCTCTTTTCTGGCAAGCAATAGAAGTTTTCCATTTACAGTAGTGACAAGACATATTTCTTTAATATAAATTTAAATTTTAAAAAGTGAATATCAATTTAAAGAAGTCTTATATAAATGATAGCAGCACAGAAAAATCATGAAGGTATTAGAAGAATCACTGAAGCTTGGGATGCACTATACTAGATGGGGAAAAATTCCTCAAGATAAAAGTTACAGAATACTACTGAAGTTTCCTTTTGAATATTAATATTAAGAATATGACTTTTGTCACTTTAAATTTTTATGTTATACATAGATATTTCTTTATGTTTGTTTTCAAAACCCACAAAGAAGGTGTATTTAAAAGTAGGATTTATATTTTATATGCTAAGGAAAAGGTTAGGCTCTGTATAGCTCTAGAAGTTTATGTTGATTTAAAATTTGATTGAAGTTTATTTGTAAATATTGATAAAGCTTCCATGTAAGCTAGGAAATTCAGCAAACCTAATGAATAAGTACATCAATAAAATTCATCATTCCATATTTCACTCAATGTTTATGTAGGTATAATCTCAGCCACTTTAAAATTAAGTGAAATAGAGAAGTTTGTTATGAAAGTCACTTTAAACCTGCTCAGAAAATGTTTGGATTCAGGTAGAAAAGCATTCATTATCTCTTGGCTTTCTAGAGGGTTTGACAGAGTGTTCTTAGGTGGCTTCAGTTCATTAATGAAGTCAACACTCTAATAGTACCTGTAGTCACAGTCTTCAATAAAAATTTCTTAAATTAAAATTAAAATGGAGGAAGATTAATGACTTGATTAGACAAATTAATAACTTGATTAGATAAATTCAAATGTTTGTTGAATTTATAAATTAATTTTAAAAAATGACTGCATGAGTGAAAAAACAAACTATGAATCAATGGTTCAGACATTCAAATGTCCATGTTTTCCAGGTACAGAGCCTATTGTTAACAAATTAACTCTGTTACAGCACATTTCCTAACAAAGAGCCTGAGAAATTTCATTTCCCACTCAAGCTTATATTTGGTAGAGAGGAGAAATGATCAAGCATTTTCTTCCTCACCATGTGGCCTAGGCTTGAATATTATCATTAAAGTAGAGAAAGATGCAAATCAATTTCTCTCAGTGACCTTCCAGTACAAATTCTTATTAACACATTAATGTACCCTTCTTACCCTGGCCAGTGTAAAAGTAAGAATGATAGGAATAAGTTTCTTCCGTTCCTTCCCTTTTGAGCCAAGATTTGTGAAATAGCTTAGCTGGCTGGGTAACAGTGGATCGGTTATAGGTATAAATACTGAACTTGCATTTGAATTTGATCACTGTAATTTATTTTTTAATACAATTACTCTTCATATTTTATACTAATGCATGCTACCGGAACATGTGCTTTCATTTTGCACGAATTTAGGCCCACAGGATCATGGCTGGTGTGCTGGATATACTTGCCAGAGAAGGCTGTCCCTGTTTCACAGCATTGTGGCTCTGAACAAATCTTATGAAATTTACTTCACTGGCACTAGTCCACAGAATCTTCGACTGATGTTGCTTAATGTTGACCGTAACAAGGTAGGGCAGGATGTCTTAAGAGTTATTGCTGTTGATTATTTGCATATTATTTCTATCTGCTAAAAACTGGTATCTCCTACCCTGTTCTCTCTTGCATTGTCAGCCTTACAGTTCATTTCCAAGGATGCCTCAGGTTATCACTGAAATTATTATTAGCCTAAACAGTTTCCAACAGCCTGAAGGTAAAAGTACCAAGCAACACCACCATCCGCTTGCCAGATGCCCTTGATTCTGGTGCTCCTTACTTGAGGCGTGACAGGGATGCCTATGATTTGCATGATTAGCAAGCAAACCTGAAGTTTTAGATAAAAATAGGGTACATCCAAAACTGATCACTTGGAATTATATACTTATTCTTCCATGCTGCTATTATACATTATATATATTATATATGTCTGGAGTACACTTTTGGAATTCAGAGATTGCAGCATTTTATTTTAAATATCTTCAATAATGTCAAGTCTTTGCTAGAAAGTGAACTCAGCCAGGATCGTTAAATTTATATATAATGGGAAAAGAGTATGAGTTGAAGCAGCAGTGTCATAATTTAGATATTCTCTTTTCTAAGAATATGAGACTTCAAAGTCCCAGGGTGTTTTAATGTGAAGAAAGGATGCTGATAGGTGAAACAGAGAAAGGAGTAAGTAAAGGAGGTGCCTGCGCCTTCCCAGGCAGCAGCAGTTCCATCCCTTCGCTCCACACAAAACTTTGGAATCACTCTTGACTCCTCTTTTGCTCACATTTCTCATCCAATCCATGTGCAAATTCTTTTGAGTTCCTCTTCAAAATACCAGAATCTGCCCACTTCTCACCACCTCCACTGCTACTGTCCTGGTTGAGCCTTTCCTGGATCATGGTAATTGCCTTCCAATTCCTCTCTTTATTTCTACCTATTCCCTTCTAAAGTCTATTCTCAACTTAGTAGCCAGATACCTTGAGAATATGTTAGATCACATCTCTTCCATGCCCCAAACCCTGTAACAGTTTCCCTATTGGTCTCTGTCAAAGTCAGAATCCTCACCATGGCCTGCGAGGCCCTATGGGAATCTCTCCCATCCCTGAGCTCTCTGGCTTCTTCTACTCCTGCAGCCCCACTGAGCTCCTCGCTGTTCCTGAGGACACCAAACATGCTACCTCCTGGGCCTATGTTTCTGATGTTGCCTCAGCCTAAAACATTGTACTCTTAAGTGGCTAAAGTTCCCATATTCTCAGATTTCACTTTCTCAATAGGCCTCTAAGATCCCCCCTCTTTGCTTGGCTTTCCCAAGTTACTTGCACCCTGATTTACCTTTTTTTTTTTCCCATGGAAGTCATCACCATTTAACATGTTTCATACTTTACCTTTTATTATTTCTACTATTTTTTAAATCTCTCCTCAGTCTTGAATATAGCCTCAAAGAAGGCAGTGGCTCTTACCAGCACTTAGAATATTGGATGGCTAAAATAGGAACTCAATTTTTCTTTTTTAAAAAATTAGAAGAGAATATTCTAACTCTAAAAATGAGAATGGTGACTACAAAGTAATGTGACTGTTAATATTCTGAGCCTCTGAAGACAATATCAAAAGAAGATTCCAAAACTGTGTATAGCTTATTAAACTCTGTATTAATCCTTCCCTGCTCTTGGAAAAACCAGTCTCTTTATGATCATGGCCGATAACATGAAATGTAAGCAATATAAACGTGGAAAATGAATAAAATTGAATCAAAGAGGATAGTTGATTTGTCTGAGTTTTTTAGTCTTTCTACCAGTTTCTTCTCAGAGATAAGCATTTTTTCCCCTAACCTTAAGTATCTAATTTTGTGTGGTTACATTATACAGAGCACTGTTAAGTCCCCCTTTCCCTGCTCCTGGTATTGAAAGCCTGTTTTGTACTTTGTTGTCTTTTAAATGAACTGTTTTTTAAAACCTAGAGATACTCCTCTAATAATTTCTCTGATTATACTTTTCTACTGAGAATCATCACTTAGGGGTTAAGTTGTACTATCTGTATGAATGGTTGAATGTAAGCCCGTTTTAAAATTTTAGTTCATCACTTATCCCACTCCATAAAACTTAGTTTTAATATTTTGCAGAAAGAATACTAACTGAAGGACAGTTTAAGTGCTAAATTATAGATATTCTATTTTGTTGCTTTCTTAAAACAAAACTTCCTTTTTTCTTAAATAGGCTGTTCTAGTAGGAATTTTCTTTTCCACACTTCAACGTTTGGATGTCTATGTGAACAACTCATTGGTCTGTCCAAAAAATACAATATGGAATGCCCAGCAGAGACACTGTGAACTTAATACACTTCTGTACAAAGGTATTTTCTCAGCAAAGAGCAGTACACATGGAATGTGTACTTATTTATAACATTTTAAATGTCTCACTAATGTTTTTAATTCCTTATCTATTGATGTTATAGAAGAAAATAAGTTTTTAGCCACAGTCCACCAAATACTAAGATGTGTTTCTTTGTAACATGAGTGTCCTGAAAGATCACTCCTAATAGAACTTACTTATCTGTGCACATGCAGATATGAGTTTTTGTTTATCATGGACATTTTTTTGCTTCCTAAGAAAGCTTTCATTCTACATACATTGAAATCAGTCATTCCTATGTCCAGAAGAGATTTTGCTTAAAATTTTCACCTTATCTTGGCTTTACTTCTATTTCATAGAGGGTAGAGCCTAAATTAATTGGCAGTCATAAGAATTATTGCTAAGGAAGCTAATATAACATCAACTAAAGGCTGTGAAGTAAATATGATAAAAATTAACTCTTGTTTTAAAGGAAACATATGGAAGAGAATAAACTTATTCATTAACTGATATTTGTAAAACCAGGATTTATCTCTGCTTATGTAAGTCTTTTTGTTGAACAGGGTTCTAATGAGGCCAATAGTAAACATTCCATTTCACATGGCTCCTTATCCTCATATTTTCATGTGATCCATAATCTTAGCTAACCATTATATAGATGTGTGTGGTAGATCATAATATGAGCTAGACTTGAGAGTATGAATGGGTAATCTGTATGCTGTACCATTTATAGAAGTCCGATTCCTACTAATAATATGAATGCTAATAAACATGAATGTTTCCAGAGACATTACTATATGTCAGGCACTTGTCTGCATGCTTTATATATAACTCATTGTTACTACATCATAGTAACTTTATGAGGTAAGCACAGATGAGTAAATTGAAGCATAGGAAGTAATTTGCCAAGACAGTGGTCTTAGTTCAGTCTGTCATAACAAAATACCACATATTGAATGGCTCAAGCAACAGAAATTTATTTTCTCTGGATCTCTGAAAGTCTGAGATCAGGGTGCCACAGTCATGTTCTGCCTAGGGTTCTTTGCTTGGTTTGCAGATGGTCACTTTCTTCCTGTGTCCTCACATGGCCGAGAGAGTGCAAGCAAGCTCTCTGGTGTCTCTTTTTATAAGGGCACTAATTCCATCATGAGGTCTCCCTCTTCACAACTGCATCTAAACCCTATTTCCTCCCAAAGGCTCTCATCTCCAAATATCATCATCTTGAAGGTTAGGGCTTTGACATATAGAATCTGGGGACACAATCCAGTCCATAGGAGTCTCAAGTTTGTACAGCACACAGCAGAGACTCAAAAGTAGTCTCACTCTAAAACCCATGCACTTAACCATTATGCTATATTGCCTCCTTTTAAATTAAGAGAATAAGCATTACTACTTTTTATATATAAAGAACTGTCATGAATAAAATGACATTTATAGATTAATTTTAATAAAATTTTCACTCTTTTCAAATAACACATATGGTACTGAGCACAATGTCATTCAGAGCCTGGAAAGTAGAAACTATCTTCATAGGCAGATCATTCCATTAACACATAATTGAGCCCAGACAAATGCTGAATTGTGTAATTAGTAGTGGAATAAGACATTTAGCTTCCTACCACATTTCATTGTGAGGCTCATTAGAAAAAAGAAATTAAAATTTTAGAAAGAGGAAGGAATTTTACAGTAATGAGAAAAGCAGAGAAGATAATAATAAAACATTTGTAAAACCCCAAAATATGTATAGATCTGTAACACAGGGATATTTTGTTCTCCATAGACATAACGTAATGTAAAGATTTGATTATGCAGGTGCTGAAGAGCTGAAAAACAATTCCACCACTGCCCTCTTACAGATAAATATGTGTATTGTGGTAGAGGTGGTGGTATTTTTCTGAAACAGTGTTGCTTTTAAGTGAACTTTTGCTTTGGCACTTGGAATGCAAAATAATATCCCTGTGTTATGAACCTGTACATATTCTGGAGGTTTCCCAAATGTTTTATTATCTTGGTCTCTGCTCCTTTCATTACTGTGAAATCCCTCTTCTTCCTAAAATTTTATTTTTCCTAGTGAGCCTCACAATGAAATGTGGTAAGAAGCTACAAATCTCATTCCACCACTATTACACAATTCAGCATTTGTCTGGGCTCAATACGTGTTAGTGGATTTATTAGCTCTTAGGCATTGTTGATACTCTGCCATAAAAATCATACATATATTCATTTATTATAATGATCGTAATCACTTTTGTAAAATTCAGTTCCCTAGCAGAATTTGTTTTGCATTAACTAAAGATTTTTCAGGCTAAAATGTAAGCCTGTTTAGTTGGTATAAGATTCTTCTGAGATGTTTTAATATATACTTCATTTTTATTACACAGTTTTGTCCTTAGTTAAAATAGAAACACTGAATTGTAAATGCTCTTTTAAGAGTTGGCATATAGCACTGCATAAATTAGATGGCTAGTAAAGTTGAATTTATATTTTTAAATTACCAAATGCCTTCAGTCAAGGCTTTAAAATTATAAGCGTGTGAATAGTATTTCAAGTACAGTATAGGCTCCTGGGACCATAACTCAATTTGTTTCTAATTTATACTGTGTCTATATAGCTGATTATTTTTTTAAAACAAACTTAATGTGTAATGATTGTTTGTGGTATTTTTTAGAGGATTGGCTTTAATTTCTCAAGTCAGTTCTGTAAGTGTTTTGGTTTTTAATAGGTATGCTTTCTTACGAAACAACGATAAAGTTGAATTTCGGGGGATTTTCTAAATTCAAACAAACATTAAGTAATGCATGTTGACTATGATCATATAAAACACTTAGCTGTGCTGTTCTGGCTTTTTTCCTTCATAGACCAATTCCTTCCTAACCTGGATTCCACTGTCCTTGGTGAAAACTACTTTGATAGAACCTACCAGATGCTTTATCTTTTGGTTAAAGGAACTATACCTGTTGAAATCCACACTGCCACAGTGATATTTGTTTCTTTCCAATTACCTGCTGTAACAGAAGATGACTTTTATACCTCTCACAATCTTGTTAGAAATCTTGCCTTGTTCCTAAAGATACCAAGTGACAAAATCCGTGTCAGCAAAATGACAAGACAGAAGAGTCTGCGGAGGAAGAGATCCATAGGATTTATAATTGAAATAGAGATTGGAGACCCTCCTATTCAGTTCTTAAACAATGGCACCACAGGTATGAATAACAGGTGTTTGAGATGGAAGAATGCAATTACCAAATCTACATCCATAAATAACCCGATCAGGGCCTGATGAGCCAGGCCTCATCAACCCCGCATCCTGAACCCTCTAAGCACCTAGAGACCCTTTTTCCTTCTTTGCTCCTATAATACCAAACTCTTTTGGAATTGGAAGGAATATGAACCTCTGTTTTGTTATTGTGGTGATTAGTATATTCAACAAAATAATTTTATCTAATATAAAAAGATCTGGGAAGACCTACCTAAGCAAGTGACCTTATAGATAAGGGATTAAGGGATGAAAATAGTCAATGAAAAGACAGAGGAAAAGGTGTTCAAGGCTATGGAAATTGCTGATGAGAGTTTGGTGCATTTGAGGAGAGGAAACAGGTCCAATTGCTCTGGAGCAGAAGGAGCCAGGAAGGACACGCTGCTGGAGGTGAAGCCGAGGGGTAGACAGGTGCTACACATGGAGAGCTTTGGAAGTTAAAGGAAGGACTGTGGAAGTTTTCTTAAGAAAAAGAGGAGATATTCTTGGATATTATGAGCATTGGAGCAGTGGATTAGACTTTCCACAGTAAAGTCACAGATTCACTCTAGCAAGGGCAGATGTGCAAGAACATAATCTGTCTTTATTTCCTATGATTGAGCTAATCATCCTCACCAGCCATCATCCCCTCCTTCTGTCCCTCACTTCCTATTTTTTCTCAAAGATAAAAGATAAGCTCAACTGCCCCATTAGAGATATCTCTGCTGGCTTAAATCATTTCCTTAGGACAGCTCAGTTTAGGCACTTGGGTAAATGTTCAGCTCTTCAAATTTTCTCTCTTTCCATCTGTTTCTTTCAAGTTGGGGTCTGAACACTAAGGGGCTGTCCTGGCCTCTGTCCTCATGTTATAGTCTTGTCTTCACAGCCTCTGCTACAGAGTGGGTCATCTTCTCTGCTCTACATATGCATCTCTTGAGGTGCTACTGAACTTTCCTGGTCTTCTGGCATGCAATAACAACCCCTGATGCTAATCTGCAATCACGCCTTTGTCTTCAGTGGTCAAGCACAAGTACTCTGACCTACCCCTCCCCAAGAATAGGAGAGGCAGGTATCTGTCAGAGGAAGATTTACCATCCAGCTAATGAAGCTTAAGCTACAAGCCCCCTCACTGACACAAGTTCTGGGAGGTGCTTTCACTTTCAGTGTCCTAGGAGAGGTCTTCATAATGTGGTCAAATCATTGAATGTTACTATGAAAACTATAAAAGTACGATTTTTCTGCATTCCTTTTCCTAAAGAGAGCCTCCAGACTTGTATATACTGCAGTTCCACTAAGTTTGGATCTACCCTATCTACCTGTGCTCACTTTATTATTATACTCCCTGGCTCTGTGTAAACCTGGGTATCAGGTGAAGCTTTCACTTTATGCCACTAGGGATCTCCACTCATTTTCCCAGGTTTGTTTCTAGGCATTGACCCTATGCACCTACTATATTCTCACTCTGGAATTCTACCAGCTAAACAGGCAGAAGTTTCTTCCACTGGGGAATATGTCTGTGGGAAGGCTTGCCTGCACGGAGGGAGGTGTTTATAAACTCTTGGTTGGAAAAGCGTAGGAAACACAGGGTTGTGTTGCAAACCGATCTCCCATGATGTTCTCTGCCCAGAGTCATAGTTAACTTTTCTTCATCAGTTCTGTACTCACTTGGACTTACAGGCTCAGGGTTTGGACTTAGCATTACTTTGCCTGTTACTTTAGTCTAGGAGTTGTAGAGAGCCCATGGCACACATATAGATTTCTCACCTATTCTTAGAAATCCCTTGTGAGCCCTTACGTGTCATGAGGTCCAAAATTACCACACTAACCACTAGATAGCCAAAGAAACTGGGATTTATTTTCTATATGTGACATACATTTCCACAGATATAATCCCTCCTACGCCCATCCACTTAAAGCAGTTTTAGCTTGTTAGATTTATTCAGAGAGGTATAAAACCACTGAAGAATGTGGAAGTTAGGGATGGTGGGAGGGACAGGCTAGTGGCATGTTTTCCAAACATAGACTGGGATAGGGTTTCAAGTCTGAAGGAGAACCCTACAACTTGGTGCATCACAACAAAATGTTGAAAAGTGGCAAGAAAGATGTTCATGTAGTTGTTCTCCCGGCTCCTTGTAGTTTTTACATAGTATTAGGATATCCAGAAACTCACAGATGACCTAGAAAGGGGTTACCTATATATTAAGGCATTTCTGAGCAGAGTCCTGGAGTCAGGAATAAGAGGCCTTCAAATTAAGGTCTTTGGTTTCTTGAGGCAATCAGCAGAAAGGAATGCCATCGCATGTCTAACAGTCAGCAAGAACCTGTCAACAGTGCAGACTGGATCAGTCCTGCCATTCTGTGCCAAAAACCAGTGAAGACTAAAGTAGTAATGGTAGTGCACAGACATGAACTACTACTGCTACAGCTAGATACACAAGCCCTCAGACTTGGGATGCCTTCTTGGAGAAAGCTGTTTCTGGAGGGAGTATGAGGAGAGGGAGGAATCTGAAAGACTGAGCCTTTTCCCAAGAGAGTCTGCATCATCCAAAAGTGACCTTTTAAACTGAAAAGGACTGAAATGCCTTAGGACTGCGTAGTTTGCAGTGTCATGTCATACCTGCTGGCCCAAGACGTTACCTCCTTCTTCCTGATCACTCTGAGCTTTATGACTTACCTTGAATGGAAGAAACTCAGTGATTTGAGTCCTCAAGGCATGATTCTGGATATAGAAAGTACAAGGGGTTAGCAAAGCCTACAATACACCAAAATATTATCCTGGTTTACAGTTGTATCTTAAAATACCAGTCTGACTCCACAGAGCCAGTTTAAAAGTGGTTTTAATAATCCTGCTGATGTGGCTTTAACTAGGATTTTAACAGCAGGGACAGAGAGAATTAGAAATTGATAATGGATTAGATGTGGTACAGTGGAGAGTTGAAGGAGCAAGGATTTAGCAAAACTACCAGGCTTCTGAAAAAAGGAATATGATGCATCAAGGTATCACTTTTTAAGGTAAGGACCAATATAGGAGCAGAAGGTTTAAGAGGAAATCCCAGACCTGCCATGCTAGAAAAAGGGAACAGAAACTATATGTAATGTTAAAAGTAACTGAAAATTGTCAAATGTCCAAAGCAAGTAACAACTGGTTAGTAACTCAATAACTTTAGCAAATAATATTTTAATACATACTCATAATATGATAGATTCTAACTATCCTTCCATTCCAAAATTAACACTCTATTTTTTAAAATGATACATGATAGAAATGCATGATAATGCTACATTGGTAAACAAAGAGAGACTTGAGAAAGTTTTAAATTTAGAGACATATATTCTTCCACTGTTTTCATTCATTTTTCTCATATCTGTTTTATCTACCTTTGTTTTTCATTTAATTCAAACTTAAAATATATTCTCTTGAGTTCATTTTCCTATCCTCATTAACATGACTCTTGTATTTTCCTCAGGTAAGATTAGAAAGCCTTGGACGCCTATAATGTGATGGAGCAATGCAAAGAAAGCTAAAGTGAAAAACTCTCATGTGTTCTCACAATTCTATACTTTTACAATCCAAATGTCCTAATACTGTTTCCCCACAGGTCAGATGCAATTTTCTGAACTCCAGGAAACTGCTGGTTCTCTTGGACAAGCTGTAATATTAGGAAAAATCAGTAGCATCCTTGGATTTAATATTTCTTCCATTTCTATTACTAATCCCCTCCCCAGCCCAAGTGACTCTGGCTGGATTAAGGTAAGAAAATGCAAATAGAAAAAAAAAGTATCATTACTTATTTCTTCTTTTAACTCTCTGTTTCTATTTCAAGACAATAATTTGGAAGGTGTGTCTTTATTATTTATTGTTGACTTTTTATAGGCTGGCTAAAATGATAATAAAGTTGTCTGAACAAAGGAGCATATCTTCCAAAAATTGTGTATTGGTTCCAAATTTGCCTTGTTTTGCATATTTATAACAATGCTTCATAAATGTAATGGAAGAAATACTGTAATTATATTAATTTTACATATTGAGCATATTTAAAATAAAAGATGAATATATTACACTCAGCCTGGCTAAAATGAGTTTGCTGCTGAGTGTAGTTTATCATGTAGAAACTGGTTCATCACTTGTCCATTCACAGGTAACCGCCCAGCCAGTTGAAAGGTCTGCATTTCCTGTTCACCACGTCGCCTTCGTGTCCTCACTCTCAGTGATCACTCAGCCGGTGGCAGCACAGCCGGGACAGCCGTTTCCTCAGCAGCCTTCGGTAAAGGCAACAGATTCTGACGTAAGCCATAACTCAACATTTTACTTAAGTGAAGGAATTAAGCTATAAATTCTGGAGGGTGATCCAGTTTCATTCATCCTGGTGTGCTGGCCACCTGAGGATCACATAGCCCCTTTAGAAGTTGGATTAATATCTAAAGAGACCATCTTGTACTGTCTTAAAATGTTCATGTTAAATGAACTGCTGCTGCTGCTCAGATTTATGAACTCTTCGTGCAGAATAAGGAGCTTCTTCAGATTTTCAATTTATAATGATGCATTTTTGAAAATAAAGTTTTGCATGTTTTTAAAAGAGTGAAAATAAGGCAATTGTTCTAATTCTCTCCTTTTTTTTTTTTTTTTGTTTTTTTGTTTTAAGGGTAACTGTGTATCAGTTGGAATTACTGCACTAACTTTGAGGGCCATACTCAAGGACTCCAATAATAACCAAGTCAGTGGCCTTAGTGGAAATACAACAATTCCATTTAGCAGCTGCTGGGCCAACTACACAGACCTTACTCCCCTTAGAACAGGTGTGTGCACTATTTTGGATCTTCACATATATACCCATAAATAAAGATAATTATAATGTTCTTTTGATGAACAAAGCATTCTATAAAACTCTGGTCAATAAATTATAGAAACCAGAATGCTTTATTTTGCCTTGTTTCAGAAAATATTTAATCTAGCTTAAAGTAGATTTAATGGCTGGGCCTGTAATCCTAGCCTATAATCTTAGCACTTTGGGAGGCTGAGGAGGGTGGATCATGAGGTCTGGAGATCGATAACATCCTGGCCAACATGGTGAAACACATTCTCTACCCAAAATACAAAAATACCCGCCCATGATGGCATGCACCTGTAGTCCCAGCTACTCAGGAGGCTGAGGCAGGAGAATCGCTTGAACCCAGGAGGCTGAGGTTGCAGTGAGCCAAGATCGCATCACTGCACTCCAGCATGGGCACCAGAGCGAGACTCTGTCCCACCGCCGAAAAAAGATTTAATATGTGAAATAAATAGAAATTAATCAATTAAGAAAATCAAAATTATGTCATGATTTATCTATTTGTATACTTTTCTAAATTTGCTCACTAAAGATGTATTACATTTATAGTAAGAAAAATTAACATGGATTTTCTCTTTTTTCCTCCTTTTTTAAAATTTTACTTTAAGTTCTGGGGTACATGTGCAAATCTTGCAGGATTGTTACATAGGTATACACAGCCATGGTGGTTTGCTGCTTCCATCCCCCCATCACCTACATTAGGTATTTCTCCTGTTATCCCCCCCAATCTCCCCACTCCCTGCTATCCCTCCCCAAACCCCCTAACCCCCAACAGACCCCAGTATGTGATGCTCCCCTCTGTGTGTCCATGTGTTCTCATTGTGCAACACCCACTTATGAGTAAGAACATGTGGTGTTTGGTTTTCTGTTCTTGTGTCAGTTTGCTGAGAATTATGGTTTCCAGATTCATCCATGTTCCTGCAGTTCCTGCAAAGGACATGAACTCATCCTTTTTTATGACTGCATAGTATTTCATGGTGTATATATGCCACATTATCTTTATCCAGTCTATCTTTAATGGGCATTTTGGTTAGTTCCAAGTCTTTGCCATTGTAAACAGTGCCACAATGAACATACGTGTGCATGTGTCTTTATAATAGTACAATTTATAATCCTTTGGATGTATACCCAGTAATGGGATTACTGGGTCAAATGAAATTTCTATTTCTGGATCCTTGAGGAATTGCCACACTGTTTTCCATAGTGGTTGAACTAATTTATACTCCCACCAGCAGTGTAAAAGCATTCCTATTTCTCTACACCCTCTCCAGCATCTGTTGTCTCCAGATTTTTTTATGATTGCCATTCTAATTGGTATGAGATGGTATCTCAACGTGGTTTTGATTTGCATTTCTCTAATGACCAGTGATGATGAGAATTTTTTCATATGTTTCTTGGCCACATAGATGTCTTTTTTCAAAAAGTGTCTGTTCATATCTTTCACCCACTTTTTGATTTTTTTTTTTTTTTTTTTTTGGTATATTTGTTTTAATTCTTTGTAGATTCTGGATATTAGCCGTTTGTCAGATGGGTAGCTTGCAAAACTTTTTCTCATTCTGTTGATTCCCAGTTCACTCTGACGATTGTTTCTTTGGCTGTGCAGAAGCTCTTTAGTTTAATCAGATCCCATTTGTCTATTTTGACTTTTGTTGCCATTTCTTCTGGTGTTTTAGTCATGAAGTCCTTGCATATGCCTATGTCCTGAATGGTATTGCCTAGGTTTTCTTCTAAGGTTTTTATGGTATTAGCTCTTATGTTTAAATCTTTAATCCATCATCTGGAGTTAATTTTTGTATAAGGTGTAAGGAAGGGGTCCAGTGTCGGCTTTCTGCACATTGCTAGCCAGGTTTCCCAACACCATTTATTAAACAGGGAATCCTTTCCCCATTGCTTATTTTTGTCAGGTTTGTCAAAGATCAGATGGGTGTAGATATGTGGTGTTACTTCTGAGGCCTGTGTTCTGTTCAGTTGGTCTATATCTCTGTTTTGGTACCAGTACCATGCTGTTTTGATTACTGTAGCCTTGTAGTATAGTTTGAAGTCGGGTAGTGTGATGCCTCCAGCTTTGTTCTTTTGCTTAGGATTGTTTTGGCTATACAGGCTCTCTTTTGGTTCCATATGAAGTTTAAGATGTTTTTTTCCAGTTATGTGAAGAAGGTCAATGGTAGTTTGATGGGGCTAGCATTTAATCTATAAATTACTTTTGGCAGTATGGCCATTTTCACAGTATTGATTTTTCCTAACCATGAGCGTGGAATGTTTTTCTAACTGTTTATGTCCTCTCTAATTTCCTTGAGCAGTGGTTTGTAGTTCTCCTTGAAGAGGTCCTTCACATCCTTTGTTAGTTGTATTCCTAGGTATTTTATTCTCTTTGTAGCAATTGTGAATGGGAGTTTGCTCATGATTTGGCTCTCTGTTTATCTGTTACTAGTGTATAGGAATGCTTGTTATTTTTGCACATTGATTTTGTATCCTAAGACTCTGCAGAACTTGCTTATCAGCTTAAGGAGATTTGGGGCTGAGATGATGTGGTCTTCTAAATATACAATCATGTCATCTGCAAGTAGAGACAATTTGACTCCCCCATTTTCCAATTGAATACCCTTTATTTCTTTTTCTTGCCTGATTCCTCTGGCTAGAACTTCCAATACTATGTTGAATAGGAATGGTGAGAGTGGGCACCCTTGCCTAGTGCCAGTTTTCAAAGGGAATGCTTCCAGTTTTTGCCCATTCAGTATATTAGCTGAGAGTTTGTAATAGATTTTATTATTTTGAGATATGTTCCATCAATACCTAGTTTGTTAAGATAAAGGGCTGTTGAATTTTGTCAAAGGCCCTCTCTGCATCTATTGAGATAATCATGTTTTTTTCCTTTGGTTCTGTTTATGTGATTGATTATGTTTATAGATTTGCATATGTTGAACAAGGCTTGTATCCCCAGGATGAAGCCTACTTGATTGTGATGGATAAGCTTTTTGATGTGCTGTTGCATTTGGTTTGCCAGTATTGTATTGAAGATTTCTGCATAGATATTCATCATGGATATTGGCCTGACATTTTCTTTTTTAGTTATATCTCTGCCAGGTTTTGGTATCAGGATGATGATGTTCTCATAAAATGAGTTGGGGAGGATTCCCTTTTCTTTAATTGTTTGGAATAATTTCAGAAGGAATGGTACCAGCTTCTCTTTGTACATCTGGTAGAATTTAGCTGTGAACCCTTCCGGACTTGGACATTTTTCGGTTGGTAAGCTATTAATTGCTGCCTCTATTTCAGACCTGGTTCCTGGTCTATTCAGGGATTCAATTTCTTCCTGGTTTAATCTTGGGAGGGTATAAATGTCCAAGAATTTATCCATTTCTTCTAGATTTACTGGTTTATATGCATAGAGTTGTTTCTAGTAAACTCTGACGGTAGTTTGTATTTCTGTGGAATTGGTGGTGATATCCCCTTTATCATTTTTATTGCATCTATTTGATTCTTATCTGTTTTCTCTTTTATTATTTTATCTGGCTAGTGGTCTATTTTGTTGATTTTTCCAAAAAACCAGCTTCTAGATTTATCGATTTTTTTTGAAGTGATTTTTGTGTCTCTATCTCCTTCATTTCTACTCTGATCTTAGTTATTTCTTTTCTTCTGCTGGCTTTTGAATTTGTTTAATCTAGCTTCTCTAGCTCTTTTAATTTTCACAATAGGGTGTTGATTTTAGATCTTTCCTCGCTTATCATATGGGCATTTAGTGCTATAAATTTCCCTCTGGACACTGCTTTAAATGTGTCCCAGAGATTCTGATACGTTGTGGCTTTGTTCTCACTGGTTTCAAAGAACATCTTTATTTCTGCCTTCATTTCATTATTTATCCAGTAGTCCTCCAGGAGCAGGTTGTTCAGTGTGCAATTTTGAGTGAGTTTCTTAATCCTGAGTTCTAATTTGATTGCACTGTGGTCTGAGAGACTGGTTGTTATGATTTCTGTTCTTTTGCATTTGCTGAGAAGTGATTTACTTCCAATTATGTGGTCAATTTTAGAGTAAGTGCTGCTGAGAAGAATGTATATTCTGTGGATTTGGGGTGGAGAGTTATTTAGATGTCTGTTAGGTCTGCTTGGTCCAGATATGAGTTCAAGTCCTGGATATCCTTGTTAATTTTCTGTCTTGTTGATTTGTCTAATAATGACAGTGGAGTGTTAAAGTCTCTCACTATTATTGTGTGGGAGTCTAAGCCTCTTTGTAGGTCATTGCTTTATGTATCTGGGTGCTCCTGTATTGGATGTGCATATATTTAAGATAGTTAGCTCTTCTTATTGCATTGATCCTTTTACTATTATGTCATGCCCTTGTCTCTTTTGATCTTTGTTGGTTTAAAGTCTGTTTTATCAGCGAGTAGGATTGCAACCCTTGCTTTTTTTGGCTCTCCATTTGCTTGGCAAATCTTTCTTCATCCTTTTATTTTTAGTCTGTGTGTGTCTTTGCACATGAGATGGGTCTCCTGAATACAGCACACCAATGGGTCTTGACTTTTTATCCAAATTGTCAGTCTGTGTCTTTTGATTGGGGCATTTAGCCCGTGTACATTTAAGGTTAATATTGTTATGTGTGAATTTGATCCTGCCATTTTGATACTAGCTGGTTTCTTTGCCCATTAGTTGACACAGTTTCTTCATTGAGTTGATGGTCTTTACCATTTGGTATGTTTTTACAGTGGCTGATACTGGTTGTTTCTTTCTATGTTTAGTGCTTCCTTCAGGAGATCTTGCAAGGCAGGCCTGGTGGTGACAAAATCTCTCAGCAACTGCTCGTCTGTAGGAGGATTTTATTCCTCCTTCACGTATGAAGCTTAGTTTGGCTGGATGTAAAATTCTGGGTTAAAAATTCTTGCCTTTAAGGATGTTGAATATCGGCCCCCACTCTCTTCTGGCTTGTAGGGTTTCTGTCAGGAGATCCACTGTGGGTCTGATGGGATTCCCTTTGTGGTAACCCGATATTTCTCTCTGGTTGCCCTTAGCATTTTTTCCTTCGTTTCAACTCTGGTGAATCTGATGATTATGTGCCTTGGAGTTGCTCTTCTTGAGGAATATCTTTGTGGTGTTCTCTGTATTTCCTGTATTTGAATGTTGGCCTGCCTTGCTAGGTTGGGGAAATTCTCCGGGATAATATCCTGAAGAGTGTTTTCCAGCTTAGATTCATTATCCCCATCATATTCAGGTACACTGATCAAATGTAGATTAGGTCTTTTCACATAATCTCATATTTCTTGGAGGCTTTGTTCATTTCTTTTCACTCTTTTTTCTCTAATCTTGCTTTCTCATTTTATTTCATTGAGTCGATCTTCAATCTCTGATATCCTTTCTTCTGCTTGATCGACTTGGCTATTGAAACTTGTGTATGCTTCACGAAGTTCTCATGCTGTGTTTTTCAGATCTATCAAGTTGTTTATGTTCTTCTCTAAGCTGGTTATTCTAGTTAGCATTTCATCTAACCTTTTTTCAAGGTTCTTAGTTTCTCTGCATTGGGTTAAAACATGTTCCTTTAGTTCAGAGGAGTTTGTTATTAATCTTCTGAAGCCTCCTTCTGTCAATTCATCAAACGTATTTTCCATCCAGTTTTGTTTCCTTGCTTGTGAGGAGTTGTGATTCCTTGGAGGAGAAGAGGCATTCTGGTTTTTGGTGATTTCATCCTTTTTGTGCTGGTTTCTTCACATCTTAATGTATTTATCTACCTTTGGTCTTTGAAGTTGGTGACTTTCAGATGGCATCTCTGAGTGGACGTCCTTTCTGTTGATATTGAAGCTGTTTCTTTCTGTTTTTTAGTTTTCCTTCTAACAGTCAGGTCCATCTGCTGGAGGACTACTGGAGGTCCACTCCAGACTCTGCTTGCCTGGGAATCACCCCTGTGGGCTGCAGAACAGTAAAGACTGCTGCCTGTTCCTCCTTCTGGTATCTTCATCCCAGAAGAGTACCCATCAGATGTCAGCCAGAGCTCTCCTTTATGAGGTGCCTCTTTGGATATATGGGGATCTGGGAGCCACTTGAGGAGGCAGTCAACCCTTTATTGAAGCTCCAGTGCTTTGCTGGGAGCTCTGTTGTTCTGTTCAGAGCTGCTGGGCAGGGATGTTTAAGTCTGCTGCAGCAGAACTCACAGACACCTCTTTTCCCAGGTGCTCTGTCCCGGGAAGGTGGGGCTTTATTTATAAGTCCCTGACATGCTGCTGCCTTTTTTCAGAGATGCCTTGCCCAGCAAGAAGGGTGTCTAGTCACAGTCTGCCTGAAGGGGTGTTGCTGAGCTGCTGGGGCCCAGCTGTTGTGTAAACTTCCTTGGGGTTTTGTTTACATAAGTAAAGTTAGAACTGCCTCGGTAATGGCGGACTGCCTCAGTAATGGCAGAATGCCTTGGTAATTGGAGGGTTGCCTCGGTAATGGTGGACTGCCTTGGTAATGGCTGACGCCCTTCCCCCAACAGAGCAACCATCCCCTATCAAGTTCAAACTACTGCGCTGGCTGTGAAACTCAAGCCAGTGCATTTCAGATTGCTGGTCTTTGTTGGAGTGGGATCCACTGAGCCAGATTACCTGACTCTCTGCTTTCAGCCCCCTCTTTTTCAGGTGAATGGGCAGCTCTGTATCCCAGGTGTTCCAGGTGGCAGTTAAAACAGCTGCCCAGATTTGTGCAGGTTTTTATGCTGGAAACCCATGGCACCAGCTGAAACAGTCATCCTGGAAACTTGCAGCATTTGTCAGCTGGCAGGTGGGAGTCTCCTGGTCTGTGGCCATAAGGACTGCAGGAGAAGTGTAGTATCTGATCTGGAGTGCCAGAGTAGCTGGAAAAGCCCCCGATGGCCTCTGTTGGTTAGGAGGGGGATCCTCCAGTTTGTTGCACTTCCTGTGTGAAGGAGCACCCCACCCTGCCTCAGCTTGCCCTCCTTGGGTACACCCACTGTCCAACCAGTCCCATTGAGATGCACCTGGTACCTTGGTTGGGAATGTGGAGATCACTCACCCTTTGTGTTGCGCTCACTGGGAACTGTGCTCTGGAGCTGTTCCTATTTGGCCATCTTGGCCACATAACCCCTCTTTTTTTTTTTTTAACATATAGATTTTCAAATTCAATAAAAGAAAAAGTAGGCTCATATAACTTTGATACCTTAAGGAGGAGTTCAGAGTTCGGCTAGAAAGTTGACTGTAGTCTTTCTGAAAGCCAAGGCAAAAGAGAAAATGAGTATTATCATAATTTACAGACCCATTACATAAACAGACCAGTTGCTGTGGATAATTAATAATATTCTCTGAGAATAGAACTAATGTCTCCTGTGACTTCTCAGAAAGTGTGCACAATTAATCTGTATTAAGTGTTAACGTCATCATCAGTGCAGTAAATACAGCCATGACTGCTACAATTATGTTTTTTAAATACTATCTTCATATAGGTTGATGACATGACTCTGATTGGTAAAAACCATCATACTAGGGCCTGAATGATATATTCCCAAACAGATCTCTCTTGGTTATAAAATGTAGAGTATCTAAAGGAATTAAATGGATAAACTACTTACATTTGAGAAAGGCCTCCATTGTTGTTTGTTCCAACCTCAGGCCCATTTAAGACAGTTATGGGCCTTAACTTCTAAAAAGGCTATGTAGAGGCACCCCCATCAATTTTTTTACCCTGATTGTTTTGTTTCTCCATGCTTTGGTAGTGCCCTACAACACCAGATATGTCTAATCTGCCTACTGGGCAGCAATATCTCAGCCTAATGTTTGATAATTAAATGGCAATGAGTTCACTGTTGTGCTCCTAGATAAGTATCTAGTGTTTCACTGCTTTCTGGTTAAGAGCAGAGCTAACTTCTTTTAACTATCAGCCCAAATGGAATGTTTTTACAGGCAATGAGACACCTGACAAGAACCCTACTGAAAGGATGTTTGCTTATCTCCTCGTGAGGGTGGACCCAATAAGTGCTCAGTGGCAAAGACCCAACCTTGTGACCAAGGCCTTCAAACTACAATGTTTCAAAAGTACCCAGCATCACTGGAACACAAACACACTAAAATAGGTTTTGGCATTTTACTATGGCAACAAAATAATATATTAAAGCACTTTTCTTTTATACATTAAGTTTTCTTTCAGAATTCTTGGAGTGTCTATCTCGCTTGCTATGGAAAAGCACCAGTGCTCTTTACCTGTCCATCTGTCCTTCCTTACTTTCTTCTTTCCTTCCTCCCTCCCTCCCTCTCTCCCTCCTTCTCTCTCCCTCCCTCTTTTCCTCCCTCCCTCCTTTCCTTTCTTCTTCCCTCCCTCCTTCCCTTCCTGGAGTGTCTATTTCACTTGCTATGGAAAAGAACAAGTGCTCTTCACCTGTCCTTTTCCTTCTTTCCTTCCTTCCTTCCTCCCTCCCTTTTTGCCTTTCTCTTTCCCTCCCTCCCTCTCTCCCTTCCTCCCATCCTCCCTCCTTGCCTTTCTCTTCCCTCTCTCCCTTCCTCCCTCCCTCCTTGCCTTTCTCTTTCCCTTCCTCCCTCCCTCACTTCCTGGAGTGTCTATCCTACTTGCTATGGAAAAGAACCAGTGCTCTTCACCTGTCCCTCCCTCCCTCCCCACTCTTTACCCCTCCCTCTCTCCCTTCCTTCCCTCCCTCCCTTCCTGTCTTCCTCCCCACTCTGTCCTCTCTCTTACCATCTCCTTCTCCCCTCCCCGCTCCCTCCCTTCCTCTCTCCCTTCCCACTCTGTCCTCTCTCTTACCATCACCTCCCATCCCCTCTTCCTCTCCCTCTCCTCTTTTCTTCATCAAGTGTGGCATCTCAGTTCCCTGGTTATGTACAATAAGGAAAGTCAAGTATAGGCATCTCTTCATGATTTTTAAATCAATTAGTCCGTTTGTAGATTAACCACAGTAAAATTATAATAACAATAAAGCATTAGTGAAAAAATTAACAGAACATCTTTCACTGACTCTTTCTAGCAAGTTACCCCCACAGTCACTGCACTGATGGAAATCCCCTTGCTGATCAGACTGCAGCCTGACAGGACAGCACCCCTCTTCTACATATAGCTATATAACAAGCAAAGCAGGGTACTTGGATAGAGGAGATGTGGGTTGTGGTTTCTAACACAGAAAATGGTGATGGAAGAATTGGGTGAGAAAAAGGTTCTGAATAAAGAGGGTATTGCTAACAGACATTGGGACATAATTTGTTTAGCATCCTATATAATGTTTACTGTTTGCTTCAGTTTCTATTGCTATGTAACAAACCAGCCCCAAATCTAATAATTTAAAACCATTTGATTTGCTCACAATGGTGTGGGTCAGAAATTTGGGCTGGGATGGCTCATCTCTGTTCCACAACATCTGGAGCTTCAGCTGTGAATTTTTATTAGCTAGGGCTGGCTAAGATGGCTTTATTGAGGTTATATCTCCATGGACCTGATTCTGGATTTTGGCTAGGTTCTTCAGTTATCCTCTATGTGGTCTTTCCATAAGGCTAGCTTGGGCTTCTTCACAGTGCTTCCAGAGGAGAAAATCAAAAGGACTACCCTAAGTAATTTGCTCATCAAAAAATTTAATAAAAAAATTCACCTGCCACAAAATTCAGATTTTTTAATGCAAAAAGAAAAAAAATTTTAATACACCATTGTCAGGAACTGTCAGTGACAGAAAATTCTATAGTACAGTGCCCATATACCATGAAAGTTATATAATTACTTGCTATTGTTCATGAAACCACAGATAAGATCAAGATCTAATTATATTCTCTTACAAAAAAAAAAAAAGAAATGACTTTTTCGAAACAAATAACAGACAAGTAAAAACTTACAGGGCTGTACAAGTATTATAAATACCATTCTGTGTGGTGACTACTATTAATGATAGCAGTAAACCCGAAAGAAATGATAGCAAGGAAAATATGTTGGTTGTCTCATATTAAAAACTCTGGGAAGATTTTACCTGGAGGTTAAGTAATATTTGGATGGGCTCTTTAAGTTTTTTACATTCTAAACACAAGTAGTAATGTTTCTAAAATGTCTACCTGAAGTAATGAGAAAGGGTTACAGTCTTGTAATAAAAAAAATAGCATCTAACTTCAAACAAATGTGAAAGATGGTAGAAATTTTTTGAATCTGAATAGAGGGCATATGATTTTTTGCTGCATTATTCTTTCAACCCTTTTCTTGTTTGAAATTTTTCAAAATAAAAAGTTCAGTATCCATCCCACCTCCCCCAACTAAGACCGATGCATTTCCACTCCTAGGTCAAGTATGAAGGGATGAAACTGAGATTCAACACCTTCACCTCTCTTCCCTATTGCCCTTCATTTCCATTTCCAACAGCCTTTGCCCAGTGCTGGGCACTAGGAAGGGGCCCTAAGAAGCAGGTATTGCTGCTGCAGAAAGAAAATCTACCCAGCTTCGCCACTGTTCAGTTAATGGGCAGATTGAACTCATCTAACTCTGAGACCCTGTCTACACTTGCCTGTACTTAAACTAATTTATTTGACTCAACTTTCAAAAATATTTCATGAGGATCTAAATAGTGTTTTTTCAGTCAATGAAAACCAAATTAGAACTGTTTGAAAACAAGTAAAAAAAAAAAAAAAATCAAACACTATGATGCTTTTTTTTCAGGTAAAAATTATAAGATTGAATTCCTACTGGATAATGTTGTTCGGGTAGAATCCAGAACTTTCAGCCTGCAGGCAGAGTCTGTCTCTAGCAGCAGCAGCAGCAGCAGCAGTGGCAGCAGCAGCAGCAACAGCAAAGCATCAACTGTGGGTACATCTGCTCAGATAATGACTGTAGTAATTAGCTGTCTAATTGGAAGAATGTGGCTCTTGGAAATATTTATGGCTGCAGTTTCGACTGTGAATATAACTTTAAGTAAGTAGAGTTCATTAAGATAATATTTCTCCACATATTGAAGTACCAGTGTTTACTGGATAAAGGCTGTGTGCACAGCTCTTGTGCATGGTGTTACTGTGGGGACAGAGAGAAAGTAACAGCCTCAATGGCAGAGACAAGACAACCTACGGAAAGTGTTATTCACTACATGTTGGTCTCTAAGAATGTGGTGAAACAAGCCTGGGCACGGTGGCTCACACCTGTAATCCCAGCATTTTGGGAGGCTGAGGCAGGTGGATCACCTGAGGTCAGGAATTGGAGACCAGCCTAGCCAACATGACAAAACCACAACTCTACTAAAAATAAAAAAAATTAGCCAGGCGTGGGGGTGCGCAACTGTAATCCCAGCTGCTCAACAGGCTGAGGCAGGAGAATCGCTTGAGCCCAGGAGGCGGAGGCTGCAGTGAACCGAGATCCCACCACTGCACTCCAGCCTGGGTGACAGAGCGAGACTCTATCTCAAAAATAATAAATAAATAAATACATACATACATACATAAAGTGGCAAAGTAAAAGTGCAGGTCATGTCAGAACTCTTTTTGAATTGCAGGATGCAGATTCTTAGCTTGAATTGATTAGGCAGTAAAGTGATCACTTAGCTGAAAAGTCCAGAAGTCGTCTGGTTTCTCAAACAGCTGGATCTAAGGACTCAAATGATATCTTCCAGAACCTCTGTCTCTTTTTTAATCAGCTCCACTTTCTTTGGTGTTAGCTTCACTCCCAGGCTGACTCTTCATCACCCCAAATCCTCATTATGAAGGTATCTGCTATCATTCTCTACCAGCCCCTCAGCCAATGCAGATAGAGCTAACCTCTTTCCCAACAGTTCTGCAAAAGCCCCAAAGCTATGTCATTGACCTAGCTTGGGTCACACACCCATTCCTGAACCAATCATTGTGGCCATAGCATTCTAATTAGCTTGGCCTGGGTCATGTGGGGTAAGGTACTGAGAATGGTGAAGGTGTAGTTTCACTAAGGAAAATAAAGATGCTAGGAGTACTGGAAGTGATAGGCAGACAGAGACACTGAATATTAGAGAAATTAATAAAAGGGAGAGGTTCCTATATGATTAGAGATGATTGCACATGTCATTGCATTATCAACACATGAAAGTCAGGATTGTATAAAATATATAAGATTTGGAGAGGGAGGGAAAAGGCACTCAGGAACAGGGACATGATAGGAGCAAAGAAAAAATGGCAGTGGAATAAAACATCTTCAGTTATACACGTTTAGCACAGAATTCTTCATCATCTCCTTCAAACATACTTCTCCAGCTTCCCCATCTCAGTTAATGCTA